ACACAAACACACACACATATACATTAAGAAAAATAAACTACCATCCCGTACAATCACTGGTCACTATGCCACATAGCTGAAGATGAAGTTACACCATGAAAATAAAGTGCAGTGATTAACACACATGAAGATTATTTCTTTTTCTCACTGCTTTGCAGGTGTAACAACCCGAACACGTTTGTAAAGTGACTGAACAAATGTGTTAATCCATAATTAACGCCAAAGTCAATCACACTGTCATGTAACAATAAACAGGGGGGACATCACTGTAAAAGTTTATGTAATGGATGACAAAATAAAGTGTGAAGATCTAAGCATTTATTGTGGGAGTGTCTTGTATCTATTTTATGCTTCTGTTAATCAAGAGCCTCCTGCAGAGCCTAAAAGCATAGCAGGTCGATACAGGTTTTAAGACATGCAGCCAATAAGCACAAGAGCACAAAGAGCAGGAGAGATAAAAGGAGGAGGGTGTCAATACGACTGTAAATACATCCAGCAGCACTTACTTATATTGCTTATCCTATGGGCCATTATTGGTCGAGGCTTTCGCCACACATCAAAATGCCATTTTCAAGACTGCAGGGAGACAAAAAAAAGAGAAAAAGAAAAACACTGTGGTTAAATTTTACACTGCGAAGAGAGAGACACAGACAGAAAGAAAGAGAAAGAGAGAGGGGGGAGAGAGAGAGGGCGAGAATGAGAAAGAGAGCTTGCACGAGGCTGAACCAAGTCATGAACGCACCCGAGGACCTGGAGAGATAGAAAAGCCATTGATTTTTGACAGAAGTGCCAGTTCATCATTCTGAGAGACACTTGCGATCGATTTCTCCTTTCGTTTGTTTGTGATTTTGTTCGTTCAAAGCCAGTTGCTATGATAAATTCCTCTTCATGCCGCAGCTTCTGAGCAGAGGACGGAGCAGATCAAAGGATAAGTCTAGATGGCCTCATTTCCAAAGGGTTTTATTTTAGGGTTTTATTTATTTATTTATTTATTGGTCAATTATAGCAATATAGAACCGTCACAGTCTTTAACACTGCACAAAATAAAATGGTAACAACCAGCAAACTGTGACAATGCACAAACAGCCTTAGATAAGAAAGATAAGAAAGAGGAAGAAAGAGGGTTATCAAATGGCCTTTTTACTCAGAGCCAAACTAGAACATCTACCTGCTCTAAAATCCATCGCCTCAGTCAAGACAGCAAAGAGGATGCTGCTTTCAGCAGTCCCTTTCATCTGCCCCCTCCCCTTTAGTCATTTCCCAGCGTTCTTAGAGGCTGGTGAAAAGTCAAAGTGGGGCGTGTGCTCTGGAAACCTTGTCTTTTTCTTAATGTTTTTCTTCCATCAGAGACGGAGACGAGTCTGTAACCTCAGCCCACCTCTTCACCTGCTAAGAACAGAACCTCCAGTCATCTAGAGTTTAAGGCACAGGATCCCAACCCTGGTCCTGGAGTACCCACTGTTCTGCACATTTTAGTCTTTTTCCTGCTCTAACACACCCGCTTTAACTCAGTAATGGCTCTCAATTTACCAGTGGTGCAAAGAATACAAAACGCACTGACTTGAGTAAAAGTACTGCTACTCCAGTTATAATTCTCTTGACGAAAAGAGACTTTACTTGACTTTTACTCAAGCAAAAGTATATCATCTGATGAAAAACTACTTGGGTAATTTTTTTTTTTTTTAACGTCACAACTGACACAATGAACCCGAAAATGTTCCATATCTAAAGAAAGCATTTTTTCGCAATTATGTTAACTAACCAAGCAAACTATGCTGAAATGAACACCACCTCCATTATCAACAGTTTATACATATTTAGGTAGTTAATATTACCTGGCTAGTTAACTTAGCCAAATACTGTTGGGGTTTTAGTAGCTTGCTAGAGTTGTTAGCTAGCTAGCGACCTCATGTTAATTAATACGTGTTTCTGCTTACATAATTAGCTATCTAGCAAAGATGCATCCTACACATTACCCTGAGCATTACCTGTAGGCTGTAGCAGCACTTATATATATTTAACAAAACAGCCAATCACTACTGAACATCAGCGTGAAATCTTAAGCTTTATACAAAGCTTTCAAACTGTAAAACGAAAATCAAAAGACCTGTCTAGCTAGTCTAGCTCACTCAGCTAATGGTTACCCTGTACATGTTTCCAAAAGTTGGATGTTGAGCTGTGAAATGTCAATATCTCCATGTATTCACATGTAGATCATTATTATCACACAGTTCCCTTCGAAGCATTTAAAACTGAAGATACCTGTTAAATTAGGCCAGAAATGCTCATCTGTTCCCACTGACTCTGACACTGCTGCCATTGAGTAAGCATTTGATGCCTGAAGTGTAGACTTTTGGAAGGAAACTGCTTTATTTTGATTGGGACTCAATATGTAATTATTTAAAACTTGCACATTCTGTCTTTTGATTGGCTTACAGCCTTTAAGGGTTAAATGCATTTTTTTTTTTTACTCTGTAATGGTGATCAAAAGTAGGGTCCCTGAAGTATTAGTGGTCAGGCCACAGCGCTCTCACTGCTGTGGCCCAGGTTCGATTCCTGGCCAGGGGACCAACCCCAGTCACTGGGGTTGCATGCAACAGTGCGCTCTCAGTGCCGGTCCCAAGCCCGGATAAAATTGGGGAGGGCTGCATCAGGAAGGGCATCCGGCATAAAAACTGTGCCAAATCAAATACGCGGACCAACGATCCACTGTGGCAACCCCTAACAGGAGCAGCTGAAAGAGGAACAATGGTGATCAAAAGTAAATATAATGAACTATATTATATTTGTAAAAAAAAAACTTAAGTTATAAGTACTTAGATTTAATTATAATCAAAAAATACTATTACAGCGAGCCACATACTCAGTTACTGTAATGAGAGTACATGTAGTTCGTTATTTTCCACTCCTGTAATTAGCTGATAGATCAATTAGCTGATAAATGCTGATAAATGATAAATTAGCTGATAAATGAATCAGATATGTCGGGAGCAGGGAAAACGGCGAAAACGGAACAGGGAAGACTCCAGAACCAGGTCTGGGAACCCGTAGTTTAAGGTAATGTGGGTTGAAAAACATGCACCCTGTTTGGGGATGTTATTACTAATCTCCCTCTGGTTATCTGCCTGAAAATAACATGCCTGCTGCTCCCTGATCAGGATGTGTTCACAGAAATCAAAACTGGATTTCTGTAACGATTTAAACATCAGCCTGGTTGTGAATCATGCGCTTGGCAGTCTGTTCTTAAAAGCAGTGTCAGGAGGTTAGAGCATGAACAGCCCGTATTCAGAAAAGCGCTGTTGTTTATAGAGTGAGCAAGCACTATTCAACAAAGTAAAGCTAAAAGTATGTGGATCAAAACTAAGGATCTGCAGATAATCTGACTATGTCAGCTTTCTCATGAGGCTTTCTGAAGCACTCACACTCCTCCATAGCTTCATCAGACACTAGCTAACAGTCATAGCTGCTTCCTGTATCCCATAACCAACACTCGGCTATGCCTTCCTCTGCCTCTCCGCAGGTCTTTAAAACACTATTAATGCCTAATGGGCTTGCTCATTAGCTGCGCTTCCAAACATGCTCTGGCCATTATGAGCTCCATTTGCTGTTGGGTCTCACGCCTGTGCACACAGTGTGTGTTGTCTGTCTACTTCGAATTCGCTTCACAATTCACAATCACAACTGTGCTTGAATATCTTACGTTTTTACACTTTGTTTACACTTAAACACAACTGTTTTGTCAGACCTGTTCTTTTTCTACTAAAAAGACATTATGAATGAATAAAGCCTTTTGTATGAATAAGTACAATATCACACTAGAGCAGGGATGTAACCGATTGTGAATATATTATTCAGAAGAAACAGATAGTGTGTTCTAAACAGATACAAATACAGATACATGGAGGACTATTAGGGTTTTTTTTTTTTTTTTCACAGATGTTCACAGGGCATCTGCTTGAGACTAGAGGTGTGCATCGAGACTTAGATCCTGCAGGACACGACAAAAGAACTGAGTAAGTGGTCAAGAGAGCGGTCAGACATGAAGTTAGCGGGACAAACAAAAACCACATTCATTAACTCGAACATACAGCATCCATTCACTCATTCATCCTTAGTAACTGCCTGGTCAGGGTCACAGTGGTTTAAATTACTAGTAATTAAATTATTAGTTTTGGGAAACAGAACCAACTTCATTTGTTAGAAAATAATGCATGCAATAATAAGTTTGCGAGTGAGATTGAAAAAAAAAGGTCCTGTACACATTTCTAGTTGAGGCCAATTATGAACTTCAGTGTTTCAGGGGATATAGTGGTAGGCTTTGTAAATTAAAAATACATAAAAAAATAAAGAAAGAAAAAAAGAAAGAAAGAAAAATCCTTCAGGTTTAGGCCAAATACAGCTCCAGATACAGATATATGGAGCAATAAAGACATACAGTACAGACAGTGGCATTGTGTTACACCACTACACTAAAGCATTTAAAAAGGACACTTCATTGTGTAGTATATTGTACATGTGTGTTGCATGACACATCAAACTCTTCTCAATAATAAAAAACCTTTTCAATAATAAAATGTGGCCAGATTCTGTAACTTTTAATACTTTTAATGCCGTGATTAAATATGTAACATTGCATTCTGCCTATCTGCATGTGCTAATTTAATATAGATGGGTGAGAGGTGCACAGTTTCTACTTCAGGAATGTGGCTACTACTTTTGCTCTGTAGTGATCTGTGAAGCTCAGGACTATGTTCACTTCTTTGCCATTACTATTAATTTACAAATGAAAAATATCTCTGTTCAAAGCAGAGGTGGCCATTAAATGCATAGCGACTGAATAACCTTAAATTATGAATTGATGCTGTTTAATGGTATGTGCGCTTGACAGACACTAATTTTAGCTTCATAATGGTGCAGTTTGGAGTTGTACAGTATGGGGCTATAACTATAACCACTATAACTATTTTGTACATGCTTTTTGAGGAGAAAATAAAACATTTGCGCTTGGATAACAGCAGCTTGCCCTTAGTCCTGACTGATTAGCACTCAAGTCACTCAGGTCATGGCCTTTTTCTTCTTCAGAAACAATCCATACATGAAATGCACACATCTAAGACAGTCTTCTCTTCCGTGATAGATGATAATGTATCTACAATGACAGAAGACAAGGACTGTTGAGGAGGACAGACCTGTGAACCCAAGCATGAAAGTGTAAGTCTGACATTGCTTACTGAGATATGGGCATAAGTCATCAGCTCCCATTATAAGCAAGATAAGCCTAGTGAGGCTTACACACACACACACACACACACACACACACACACACGCATGCACACACACCCACACACATCAGTTAGACCACAGCTTTGATAGATTTGACCTCGCAGTAAGAATGACAGTAGCTAAGACCGTTTGCTCACAGCCCTGCTGGTGCTGGTCAATTGCTCTGAGCCATTGAACGACCTTTCGCATAAGCCTCATTCCCAGAGAAAATAGCAGGCAATTAACACAGTGAGTGGATTACAAGATTGCAATAACTTGTGGATTAATGTGTTCACTTATTCTTAACATTTCTGAGCCACCCTGAATAGAGCTGTCTTTGGCGCTCAGCCCCGGCCAACTCAAGTGAATGCAGTGGAAATTATGGGGTAGTAAAATTGCTAATCAGAAGCTTAACTATTAGAGTAGAGAAGGCTCGTGCTGAAACAGCTATGATTTGGGAGGAGTGAATATCAATCACTAAGTGACAGACAATGGATGTGGATGGGAGAACTATTGGCAACATACTGCTCTCACTGCAGTTATTTTGCAAACAAGGTTTGAAATTAGCACTAGTGGCTAACTGTGCTGATTTTCCAGACACTTTGCTGAGCAACCTTACATGCTCCTCATCTGGAAAAATGTAAGATTATAAAGCTTTTACTACGTCTCCATTTTCTGCAATTAGTGTGACCTTCTCCTGCCTTTTTATCTCATAGCTAGATATGTAAATTGTGATTTTTATACACTTTTCACATTGTGGAATGTTAACTCATCTACTTAACCAAATAGTAAAATCAGAATCGGAAGGAGTGAGAAGAGGAGAACAGGAAAAAAAGGTATTTCAATAAAAAAAGAACATGAATGATTTTGGTTATGAATTAGCAAACATTTATTCCAGTGTATGGTAATGAAAAGGGCTAGATTAGAGTGGTAAAATGTAACAAAAATATATGAAGCTGACATTAATATCTAGAAATTGTAATTTGAACACTTCAAAAAAATATATGTACATTCTCTCTTAAAAAAATTATAATAAAAAACCTTATAAAAAACCAGTAGGACTGGACTTTAACAGTGCCCATGTTTTCGAGTTATATGATATATGATATGATATGATATGACATGACATAGGATTTTAGATAGTAAGGTCAGTTTTCAAGTCAATTTTCAATGTTTTCTGTGTTAATTGTATTATTTCTACAGATGTCTAATTGAAAAAAGCCACATTGTACAAGCCCCATGAATTATAAATATAGCCACAAGCGCCAATCTGCAGGGTCTAAGCACTCTTCAGAAATAGCACCCCAGTGGCCAGTACATAGAACAATAAAGTACATAGATGAACATACTGTACTTACCAACTTTTGTGATGGTAGCTCAATGCTAGTTGTGTCAAATGCCTACTGAAAGCTGATTGGCTGAAGGCGACCTTGTTTTTAAAGTAATTAAATGATGATTAAAAATCCAGTTACAGATTAGCAGAACGATACAGCACACCAAATTTCAGTTCAATTGGACTTTTGGTTTCTATGAAACAGCTATTTGGACTTAACTCCACCCCTATCGATGACCATGCCTTATGATTCCCCAAGCCACGTCCCTCACACGATCCGCAATACGCATATGCGGCACTTGCGTGGTGTAAATTAGGCAGTGGACACAGGTTAGGTAGCGACGATGCTGCCCGATCTCTACCACACTTGCATTAACGGTTTATGGCGAGAGTCAATACTGTAGCTGCCAAAAATAAAGAAAATAATATGTTGTGCTTTTTTTTTTTTCTTTTTTACCTGATGGAAAAGGGTTTTGATAGATCTGACCCCTATTCCAATAATTAAAAAAGAAGACATAATTTATAAATGCAGGCTATCATCTGTTTTTACAAACTTACCATCCAATTTAGTAGGACTGAAAATTAAACACACTTATACAGCGTTCTTTCAGTGATTTTTGTGATGAAGTATGTTTGTTCCAACAATACAAAATACATTAATATATTAATTAACTTATTGAATTTTGATTTTATACATTTAATATGTACACAATTACATTTGGCGTTACACTGGCAATGTTATGTTAATTTCAAACTCTGAAAATATACTCTCTCTCTCTCTCTCTCACACACACACACACTTTTCCCACACACACCCAACACTATTCCCCTTGGCTAAGTGGATGGTGTCCTCTATCAGTGGTGACACCGGTGTTGGGTCAGCAGAGAGGAAGCGATGAGACTGAAAGGTTGTGGATAGCAGTTAGCTCCTGCCTCCTCCTCTGGGCCACACTGGCGCTGCAGGCGCTCCCTA